TTGCAAACAAGGTTATTGTGACGAAAATACACTTCCTGGGTACAAGTATATGAATGACCTGACAAAAGATTACCGGATACGCATGCCTGACGAGCATCAAGAACCGCGAAACCGGTTGTGTGCTTCCAGGGAAGTTTTGTCCAGTCATTCACATACTACTTATTATGATATATATATATATACATATATATTACTCGCTTGCGAACAAGTATAGTGCCAACGCAAAAGCAGCAATAAGAGAGGATGGGTGTTGGGATAAAAACAGAGTGAATTGTAGGTTAAACAGTGGATAACGAGAAAAAACATTTTTGTTTGTTTCACCGTACACTTTCTGATGTTTTGATTTTTAGTTTATCTTTTCTGTAGGTGCTGTTTGATGAAACAAGTGGGTCATGAATGATGCATTGTAACTGCACTAATTTGTGTGACTGTGTTGTGAGTTAAATTAACTTTTCAATTCACAAATGATCTTCCATTGAATCGTCTCATTTGTTTAGGCCAGTATCACAGAAACAATGCAAATTACTTTATCAACAAAATTCTTCCATTCATTTTTAACAGGATTCAATTTGGAAACCTAACGCAACGTATTGATTCTGATCAGTAACCATTCCCCGGTCGCAAATTGTAAATGTTGCGTGCGTGAGTGATCAGTGGGACAACCGACTGCCGTAAGTCGACGGAACAACGGAACTCACCGAGGAGCAAAAGCCAACCAACCACAGTCCGATATATTGCATGTGTTTGTTAGGTAATCGTTCTTTAAGAATTTCCATATTAACATCTGAAATCGAGCTAAACTAACGTCCTTGGAACTAACCAAGTGTAAACACAACCTTACTGGGAGAACCTTGGAGTTTTTTATGCGGAATATACATCCGGAAAAAAAACACCAGACGAATGATTTTTTTCTGAAGTGTGATTAACGAACGGAAGTCTCACATGATAAGCGCATACACAGGAATTCAATCTGGATAAACCCTTGGTGGACGAGCAGGAGCGATCTAAATCGGATAGAAAGGTGACAGATTTTTGCAAATCTAGTCGGATAACGATTCTGGAATTGATATAACGGTATTAGCGAAATCTGGCGGACGTTCTAAACAGCGAAATTCCTTCATCTGGCGGAAAGGGGACAATGTTGTATTAGAGTCAACGGTTAATGTGCGGATCATCTGCCTAGATTTTTGTTTGGAGATTCATTTCTCTCGCTTTGTAACCAAACGACATTAGACAAACGACAAACGACATAGACTATATAAGTGCTCTGTTAATTCAAAATATGACAGACAGACAAAAGTCATGTTTTTTCGTAAATTTGAAAACTGAGTTGCAGCGCAACTTATCAGACATTTAATGTATCGAGGCGGACCTTTTATTATTATTATTATTATTATTATTATTATTATTATTATTAACACCAATCTTTATAGACACGGCGCCAAAGATAACCATGGGTGAGCGAAAAAATATAGGTACAAAAAC